TGTCAACAATCATCAATTTGGCCCCAAAATTTTTCGCAAAAGCTTTTGCTAACATTTCCTGATATATCTCAGAGCCTTCAAATAATCCATATGAAATTTTTGTTAGGATGATGGAAATCAGAAACAAAATATTGGTTATAAACAACAAGTGCATAGTTTCCTTCATACCAGCTGGTCCAGAGAGCAAGATACGGGGGCTCACTGTCGACAGATCTGATGCATACTTTGCAAACTTGCTTTCACAATTCATATGGACATAAGTTGATGTTATCAAAACAGCCTTTGTTGTGTCACTGTGACAATTCAGAGAGTTGTTTATCAAAACTTAGAAGACATACGAATTCTCCATCTTGTCATAGTTTGAATAACAGAGATTTAACCAAAACTGACCTTAAGTAATATGGGAAGTTCTCAAAAGAAACTTCCATGTCCTGAGGATTGAGTACTCCTGCTCGAAGACAATCCTTATGCGCTTGCCGTCTAGTTGATACCGAAGCTGATGCACTGTCACATCCTTTAGGCATCTCCTTCACTTCCCTTCGATCATCCACCGATAGTTTGGAAATGCTACCCCTTAAATCAAATTCCGAAGGATCCTCCAGTAGGCGCAGAATTGGTCCAATGTCATAATCAGAACCAGGAATGCTTCCACCATCTTCAGCTTCTTCAAAAGGATCCATTCCATTTTCATCAGCGTTCAGGTCATCGTTGGCATCAAACGAGTCAGAAGCAACAGTTTTCTCCGTCAAATCAATATCAGCATGATCATTGTCACTATCAGCGTCATTCACATCAGCATCCGGAACACAATCATCGCAGGTAGAAGGTAGCACAGGAAGCTCTGAGTTTTCCTGGCTTTTGGCATTTTTAGCAGTAGGTATCTTTTTTAAAGACGCCAATAAAGAGGACCCATGAACAGATGAAGAGTCTCCTGCTCTTGTCTCAACATGAACCCCTTTCAGAGGGGCACTCTGTTCTCCAAAGATGCTCAGAGAAGAAGTTCTATCTGGTCTAGCTAGATTTTCATCTTTAAGAGACTGAATAATCTGAACACTCTGTTAAGGAAACAAAAACACAGCAACAACATCATAGATAAATAAAAGATGAAACCCTGGATAATTTTCCAGAACACTGTTAAAAGGATACATAAGCATGCTTCCCAGGAGTGCTGAAGACAACCTCATCGCCTCCCCGCAGATGAACACAAGCACTCTTTTGGTAAATCTTGCCATTGACATGAACAAGAACTCCATTCCCTACAATATCCAGCGAGGCAACTGAAGGACCTCCGTGCTGCAAAGAAAAATAAACAATATTAGCAAAAAAATGACTGTGTGTCCTTTAAGCTAATCGAAAACTTGACCAATCAGATAGAAATTCAAATACCTCAGACTGCCTCAGTTCACAAAGAACACTGGGCATGTATTGATCTTTAATAGATAAATCGCATCCTTTTCGTCCAACAGTAAACACAGAGCCTCTCATGACACGATGAGGGTTCTGAAACACACAATTATTTTTTTCAGGACAGTCAGAAACAACACAATAAATCATCAACCACACAATACAACACCCTAATGCAAACAAAGTATGAAACAAGAGACACTCACACACCCCCACCTGTGGATACTGAGAAAGAAGCTTCGCCCAAGGAGCCTTAGCCTTAGACCGTTTCTTCCCGCATTTCGATTTCTCAGCTTCAGACACAACTTCACCTGTAAATCCCCAACCAAATCCAATATGAGAAAAAAAACAAATAAATAAATAAAACTTTGACAAGGATAACATGCAACATGCAAAAAACCTGGGGGAGTAGGCGTAACCAAGCCTTCGACTTGTGGGTTATTAATGTCGGAATCAGAACAATTCTCCACGGCAGGCGCATCTGTTGTCGTAACTGCCTTTTCCACATCACTAGTCTTCGGATCAGAACCTCCCAGCTCCGGTTCTCCTGACTTCTTAACCGGATTCTGATTCTCAATCGGAACCTCACCCGCCGGTTCCACCTTCTACGATTTCATTTCAGACCAAAAACAAAAACTCAAAATCAATCAAAAGGAAAACATAATTTGAAATAAAAAAAAAACAAACAAACTCAGATTTGGAATCTGAGAAGAGGAGGAACATGCGGATTGATCTCGATCTTAACCTTGGATCGTTTGGTAGGGCGTGACGATGAAGTTTCAGGAGGAGGAGGAGGAGGAGGAGAACTGAGTGGACGCTTTGAAGCGGAAGAGCTACGCCTCGTCTCCACCATGTCTAATAAACGAATCTCTCTTCTTCTTCGCCGCTTGATTCCAAATAGAGAGAGATCAGAGAGATTCCGGAAGAAAGGAATGATTTCACTGCAAAGTCAGTTTATCTTCTGCAACGTCCTTTATATAAATTCAATCCAACACTTTTTCGTTTTATTATCCTATTAATTGTTTTTTTTTAAACACTAATTAAAAACATAATCAGCTCCACTTAAGGTTTTGACCGTAATAAGTAGATAATTAGTTTAGATATTTTAGGGGAGTAGATTCTCTCTTAATACTTATTGACAAGTTTATATTAAATCTAAATGCCCAAAAAAAAACATCTATATTATTAGTATTGTTTGGAAATAAAAATAACATAGGAAATAAGAATTGTTTGGAAACATAGATAATCGATTAAGGAGTTATTCCTCAATTCATCGCTTATGATGATTTTTACGGTTCACCAACCAATAAGATGGTGTTATTTCATATTTGATATTAAAAAAAAATATCTTGTTAAGTTATATTAAATTTTTAAAATAAAATACAAAATAAATAAATAATAATAATAGTTTTTTTAAAAAGAAAAAATCTTGTAAAAATATATATTTTAACACTAAAACACTAAAACTTAAACATTAATTCTAAACCCTTGGATAAATCATAGAACCTTTAGAAAAATCTTAAACATTAAATCAAAAAAATTAATACTAACCAATTATACGGTTTTTTATTTATTTTTATCTTTTTATTTTAAAAACATAATATAACTTAACAATATTTTGTTTTCATTTTCAAGATATATTAAAAGAATTTTTTTAAAAAAATTGTTTTTTTGCAATTATTACTGTTTTAATTTTATTTTTATCTTTTTATTTTAAAAACATAACAAATTTTTAAAAAACTTATTTTAAAGAATCTTTTCATTTTATGTAAATATTATTATTTTTATTTTAAAAACATAATATAACTTAACAAGATTTTGTTTCTCTTTTTAAAAGATATCAAATATGAGATAACATCATTCTATTGGTTAGTAAATCTAGAAGTTCATCCTAGGGGATGAACTCAAGAATAAATGTAGATTAAGTACTTCATTTTATTTTCACATTTATTTATTACATTTACAATAAACTAAATACTTTCTATGTATTTTTTTTTATTTACATATTTTACCAATGAATTTAAAATCAATTTAAATTAATTAGTTACAATGGTTGTTTTTCTTTGTGGTGAAAAGACAAAAATTAAACTGAAATATATAATCTATATTATATAAAATTTTACCAATGCATTTAAAATCAATAAATTAATTAATTACAATGGTTGTTTTCTTTGTGGTGAAAAGAAGAACACAAACTGAAATATATAATATGTATTATTTAAAATAATGTTTAAATATAATATTATCTTATTTAATTTAGTCAAATATAAAATTTTGAAAGCTTAATTTAAAAAAAAAATTATAAAATTAATGATAATTCATAGAAAATTAATGTAAAAACTTAATTTTTAGTATATTGTTTCATTTTAAAATAAATTAACAAAAATAACATGTTAATATATGAATAATACAATTACATCAAATCATAAAATTTGTAATATAATATTATGTACAAATAAAATAATATAACTAAATATTTATATTATAAAATAATATATTTTATTTTATATGTAAATTAGAAAACATAAAAATAATTTGTTTTAAGTGGTTTATGAATTTACATTGAGTACAATCGTGCGGGTCAAGTTCAACTTAAAATTATGAGTGGTGTTTTAAAAGACCTATAGAATAGTCTGCATGCTAAGACCATGTGTATCAAAGAATCAAGGGAGGGGATCACACGCACCCCAAAAAAATAATAATAAAAAAATTAAACAGTGTTGAACCTGGATCGCGGCAGCCCTTCCCCATGAACCTGGATCACAACTGTTCAGCGGACCCCACGCCACGTGGCGGCCTGCTATTAGTCAGTTTAATTTATTTTTTATTTTTTTTAAAAAAAAAAACAAACGAAAAATAAAAAAGAGTAAAAAAAAAAATCAAGTTATGAACCCCAACATGGCGTTCATTAATGCACATGGTCTAATGTTTAGACCTCTTCATCGTCGATTTGGGATTAAAACGTTGACAACTTGACATGCTTTTACTGCACTTGAAGTAAAATTACAGGCAGACAGCAAATCCACTTGATCATTATTTTATACGTTGTTCTCTTTCTGTTTTTCCAAGTTGCATGTTTTCATTTTGTTCATTGTTTATAATTGATGTGCTTTTGACTTGTTTTTCCTTTTGTATTTTATGCAGCTGTTTCGAATCTTTTATTATCACTATATTCAACTAATTTCAACATAGTTTGCAGCTATGGCATTGCCAGTCCGTGCTCAAGCATGTGTTTGGACCAAAATATCTATAAACAATTTAGAAACTAATTTTTGACAAGAGTCGTAGTTGGTTCAGTGTAGTAGCTGATTCACTGGTCAAGATCGAACACTGATTTTAAGAATCAATTCTTAGCATTTTCAATTAAAATTTTAAAAAACATTTTTCTAACTTCTGCTAAGAAACTTATCTTAAGAATTCTGGATTAAAGCAGAACTTCATCTTAAGAATCGGATTAATCATCGTCTAAGCACGTGAAATTATTTCCCCATTATTTAAAGTGGAATTATCCCACCATTATTTACATCACGTAAATAAACAAAAACAAACCAAATCTTTTGTCTGAAAATATAAATGGATAAAAGACCCATTTGAGGTGATGAAGGAATATATGTAGTTGTTATTATTATTCATTTTATTCACACATGCATCATACGTATACAGACACGAAACACAATGAATCTTATAAGATTCACCACACAGCAAACAACCACAAGCTTACAAACCGCGGCCAAAGTACGATTAACACACAATCACATTCCCACACTGTTTTTCTTTTGCTTTCATTTATTTCATTTGCTTACCAAACCAATACTTTTCATGATCACAAGCCATTTTCCAAGCCTCTCTACCCGTAATCTCACCCACCCACTTACGCACTTTAGGTCGATCTTCGAACAATCTCTTTGTTGGAGTTCCCAAAAGGTATTGTATATTGGGCAAGTGATGAAGATCAGCCAAAGTAAAGGTATTACAAGCCAAGAATCTATATTTTCCGAGTCGTTTCTCGTAGACATCTAGAACCTTCTCTAGATTAGCCTCGTTTTCTTTGACGATCTCTTGGTCAGCCTCTAGACCGTAGAGAGGCTTAATGGCTTGCTCCCAAGTGAGTTTCGATGCAAATGGATCGAACTGGTGAGCTTCGATTTCCATCCACACTGTTAGTATTGCCATTGTCTCGTGGCTTTGAAGATACAGTAGTTGTGTGCCTCTTGCGCTATGAACATATGCGATGTATTGTGTTATGGCTCGAGACTCTAGAAGGCAAACAAAAAAATTGAGATGAAAATTATTCCAAAAAATCGATTAACTTATAAATAGATATTTATCATGAAGTTATTATTTAAACTTAACTCACCATGCAGCTTAATGTTCCCATCTACAAAAACTGGGATTTGACCAAAAGGCTGCATCAATAAAAAACACATTACAAGTAACTAATCACTAGGTGAGGTGAGTATCAATTATTCTGATCCTATACATATAAGTTATAACACATTAATGTTTATGTAAATGATTACATGATCGTTTTATAAACCTGGTCAATAATAACTAGGTGGAAACTTAGAACATGAGAGTGTAGCATATAAATCAAGTTAGCACTGAGTTGTCCAAAAAAAAAAAAAAAAAAAAAAATCAAGTT